GCCGAGTGTTGCAACTCGTGCGCCCCAGGGATAGGGTTTACTGTATTGGAATAGCCTCCTACTGCAGCTACCAAGCATATCAAGACAGCTCGGACTACTAATATATGAAGCCTGGACAATTTTCTATGCGTTACTGTGTATGTTTACCAGGCAGTTTATGAGCGACAAGCGGCAGAAAAAGCGCTCCATGTAGCGGCAACTTTGGGGTACGCACGAATATGTCAGCTGCTAGTAGACGCAGGAGTTAAGGCTGTTTCGCCTCCATCTAAGGAAAAGGGGCCTTTTGAACTGCTGGCAAAGGCGCTGCAGCAGCAGCAGAAGCACGCGCTGCTGCAGCAGCAGCATGACATGCTGGCGACTGCTGCTGCAGCCGCATCTGCTGCACCCCTAGCAGCTGGCACATCAGGAACCGCTAAAAGAGCTGCTGCATCAACTCTCGAAGCTGTCGCCGCTGCAACAATCAAGCATACGGCCCAGCTGCGGAAGGAAACAACAGACACTTCCAATTCTGGAAATTCGGGTAAGTGTCCTACAAACTCTCCATGCAGGTACATTATCTCCCGTGTCAAGGTGTTTGCAGCTTGTGCTTACATGGTGACACGATGTGGAGAATACCCATAAACAAACCTGGACACTATTTCAGAGTTCCACCCGTCTGCAAAAAGGCTGTCTGTGGAATCAAGCTCAATATCCTATCTAGCTGTGGTCATTTTCCCGCAGCGAGTACAAGAGAGAAAAAGAAACTTAGTGCTGTGCAGCCTCCGCCGATCGTCTGCAGCCTCCAAGGGGAAGTAAAGAGAGGAACAGGAGAAACTATCGAATTGAAACCTTTTAAGTTAACCCCCAAACAGCAAACGCTGAACCCTAAAGACTATTGATGCGCCCCATGAACTTTGGGGGAGAGGGAGGGTTCGTTATATTGCAACCGTCCGATTTCTGAGGCATTTGGCGCCTAATCCGAATGGAATACGTGCTTATGGAGATAGATGCAGGTATGGATCTCCACACGAATAAATTTATAAGTAATCGCCTCATCAATATGAACAAGAAGAAGACAGAGCTCAAAAGC